ATTTATTTATTTCTAAATCACATCTATAAAAAAGTGTGTTTAATTCGAAATTAATCAATAATTTTGTCTTAGACAACTTTTATAATAACTCATTTGTATAGTCAACATTGTTTGAGTTTGAAGTGAACAAACTGTTGCTTGACACAAACCTAAAATGTACCTGCAATGAAAAAAATGCCTGGATAGGGGTTATAATTTAAAATGCAAATATGCATAATTTATAATATCACTTAGTTAAAAAATATCACAAGCTACAAAATGTTTGGTGTTATTAAAAGAATGTTACTATTATTGTTTGCTATCTTTATTTCCAACTTAAAAATTGTTTTATTTTTGTGCATTTGGTATTGTTTGTATTTGAGAAAATAATAGATTTGTAAACTTCTAACTAGTAGCTATTAAAATGTGGAATTATCAGAGGAATAAACTTCACCATACCTTGATTTGAGCAGGAGCAATCATAAAAAAGATATTATAATATTATTGCTTGTTATTTATAATTAATAATACATAATAATTGTAGGCAGTTTACCAATATATCAGTCAATCAATCAATCAGTCAGCATATCTATCTATCTATCTATCATAATAATTGTAGGCAGTTTACCAATATATCAGTCAATCAATCAATCATGATTGTTTTAAAGACCATAAAAATAATCAAAGAAGAAAAATACAATATAAAAGAAATATTTAAAAAATGTAAGATGTGTGGAATCTATCTTTTTTTTCCAATTTTTCAGGTAAACAACAATAAGCTACTATCATGCATAGAAATTATTAGTAAATAAATTTGCCCTCAAGATATTGAAAGCATAAAGAAAAAGTTATGTCATCGTTAGATTCAGATAAATGATACCACGAACTAAATAACGTTGAAAAGTTGAATAACGGTTTTATTTTGAAGTAAAAGCGGAAGCAGACGTGGAATAACGTGTTCAATTGGAAACCGCTTTTCCACGGCGGCTCTGGCCGCCGCCGTTTGCTTCTTTGGGATCAAAATTAAATCTTTAACCTGAGTATAAGAAACCATCCATCAGTTTACAGCAGAATTACCTCAGTTATGGTGAAAATATCCTCAAAAAATGACCTACTGTGGGACACTTGACGCCGTTTATCTCTCCCGAAGCTACAAAGGTTTAGCAGAGCTGTTTTTATGCTGTTACCTTGGTAACCTGTTTGGGCCCTGCGCACAAGCTTGTCTCCGCCCCCTGGGGGTTAAATTGTTACAAAAAAGAAAAACACATATAACACATATATGTATGCATGTATAAATATATATATATATATATATATATATATATATATATATATATATACTGTACTATATACTGTACACCAAGCGTAGCGAGGGAGGCCGAGGGCTAGTGAGTGTCAAGACCACTGTCCAGGATGAAACAACTAAGATCCAGGAGTACATCAGAAAGATGGCCCCCAAAGACAAATGGCTCGGTGAGTACCTCAGGCAGGAGAAAACCGAAAGTGAGGACAAGAAACAGGAAGGAGATCCATCCTGGAGCGACAAGCCGCTGCATGGCGTATACCACAGAAAAATAGAAGAAGTGGCTGATATCAA